AAACTCTCTGATCAAGGCTACGCGGGCGACTTACCGCATTCGTTGAACTTGTCCTTCAGCATTTTCCATGTAAAGTCAAAAGGAAGCTGGGGAGAACGAAGAGAAGAGGCAACACAAACGTCACCCCACCTGTGGTCCAAGCCACAACCGGGCCGCAAATCCCACCAGATGCCCCCCCCTCCCTTTGGTCAGGGGTCTGCTATTTCCCCGTGGAGGGCATCCCCGTGTGTGTTTTGGGGTCAGGGTGGAGGAAAAAGGGGGACAATCGGAGGGAAAGAGAGACGGGGGCAATTTTAATCGGATCCGCACACAGACTCACAGACACACAAGGGGCGCAGCACCCCGGGGCTCAACTCACGTTTCTCACAAAAATCTGGCAGGCTTTCCTGGCTACTCCGGCGGCGGCGGCAGTGACGGGTCCTCCGGTGCCCAGGGCGCCGCTGAAGTTTCCGGCAGCGAAGTTCCCGCGCTCCATGTCCATGCTTCTCTCGAAGCTGCTCCCCATGGGCAGCCCGATCCGGTCTAAGCCGGCGCCCATGCCCTGGCTGAGGGCCGGCCCCATGCGGTCCATGCTGCTGGCCGCCGCCCCCATGCGCTCCAGCCCCATGCGGTCCATGCTGGGGGCCGCCAGGCGGTCCAGCCCCATCCGGTCCATGGGGGCGGCTCCCAGGCGGTCCAGCCCGGCCGGCATCCTCTCCATCACGGGGCCCATCCCGGCCGGGACCATGCGGTCCAGGCCCAGCCCCATCCGGTCGACCCCGCTGCCCATGCGGTCCATGGCGCTGCTCACGCGGTCGAGGGTGGAGCCCATGCGGTCCAGGCCAAAGCCCAGGCCGGCCCCCATCCGCTCCATCCCGGGGCCCATGCGGTCGAGGCTGGAGGCCAGGTGGTCCAGCCCCAGGGGGGCCATGCGGTCGATGCCCGAGCCCATGCGGTCCACTCCGGAGCCCATGCGGTCCAGCACCAGCCCCATCCGGTCCATCTCGGAGCCCACGCGGTCGATCCCGTGGCCCAGCCCGGTGGGCAGCCTGTCGATGCTGGGGGCCATGCGGTCCAGTCCGGGGGCCATGCGGTCAATGGCCGGGATCGAGGCGCCGCCCCCACCGCCCCCTGGAGGAGGAAGAGGCGGTTCTCAGTCCTGGCNCCTCCCTCCCTCAGCTCCTTCTTAGCAACCTGCCATTCCTCCCCACTTGGGAAGGTTCCAGGGACAGCCCAGCGTTTGACGCTCCGATCAGACCCTCCCCGCACTCATAAGGCACTCCCTGTACAGGCTGCTGGGAGCGGAGTCCGGACGACATACCTATGCCTCTGTCCAGAGTGTCTCCAAAACTACGGGCCATCCCCATTTCGTTTCTCGGGAAGTCTCTCTCGAATCCCCCTCCGATGGCTCGGTCCATCTCTGGAAGACAGGGAAGAAATCTCAGCATCCTCTCTGGGTACCACATGGGTGCAGCCGGGCCCCTGCAGCCGGTCTGCCCCTCCACTCACCCCCATTCAGAGGCGGGGATCTCCACCCACACATTTAACCCTGGAGCAGCACTTTTGTCCAGGGACACACACAAAGAAGCTGGGCCACACCAGCATCCCACCTTGGGTTTTTGCTCACCCCCCAAAAAAAGAGAGGCCCCCGGGAATCCTTGCAGCCAAACAGCAGAGGGGCTGTCCTTGAGGTACGAGCATAACGGATCCCACCCATCACGGTTGTTAATTTGTGACATTTTTTTTTGCAGTTGTTGTTAAGCGAACAACACGGTCGTTAAACAAACCAACAGTTTACCAAGGGCCGATTTCTTCCCCCCCCCCAAAAAAACCCCAGAAATACCAGGTTTTTGGGGGGTCAATACCATTGTAAAAACAGAATCACGCGAACCCAGGGCGCTGCAAACAGCCGTCAATGTGGGCCCGGTTGCAGAAAACCCACAGCACAGTGGGGAATGGTGTGTGTATGTGTGTGTGTGTTGGATTGCCACGATTTTGAATCCAGGTTACAAGTAGCCCCCCGAGATAGATCGTGGAAACGTGTCAGTCGCTAAGTGACTGTTTGTAAGTCTGCACTCGCTGCTGTTCCCCATATAACTGAAGGCTGAAATGCAGCTGGGAGCTCCATGCTTGCTTAGGAGAAATCAGGAATTCCTTCTTTACAAGAAAAGCCGACAGCAGGATGAAAAGCATTCAGACTGCATTATCTAGTCCAGGGGTAGGCAAGCTTGGCTCTTTTATGACTCGTGGACTTTCAACTCCCAGAATAGAAAGTGGGAAAAGGGGCACATAACTAAGTCAGAATATCAGCAAATAGCCCGAGCCTGCAAAGACGAAGTGAGGAAAGCCAAGGCTCAGAATGAACTAAGGCTTGCGACCAAAGTCAAAAATACACAAAAAAAGCTTCTTTCAACATGTAAAAAACAAGAAAAAAGTGAAGGAAACGATTGGTCCATTAGTGGGTGAAAGTGGCAAGAAGGTGACAAGCAATAGGGAGAAAGCGGAACTATTTAACTCGTTTTCCGCATCTGTCTTTACAGAAAGAGAAAAAACAGACCAACCTATCAAAAATAGTGCCATAAAAAACAGAATAGAAACACAAGTTAAGATAGGCAAGAAAATGATAAGTGAGCACCTATCCAGCCTAGATGAGTTCAAATCACCAGGACCAGATGGATTACACCCCAAGGTTCTCAAGGAACTGGCAGATGTGATCTCAGAACCATTGAACTATATTTTTCAAAGATCTTGGAGCACTGGGGAACTACCAGAGGACTGGAAAAGAGCTGATGTAGTTCCCATCCTCAAAAAAGGAAAAAAAAATGGACCCAGGAAATTACAGACCTATCAGCCTGACCTCAATACCTGGGAAGATCCTGGAAAAGATAATCAAACAACGAATCAACGAACACCTAGAGGCAAACAAAGTCATTACTAAAAGCCAACGTGGGTTTGTCAAAAATAGATCATGCCAGACAAATCTTACTGCATTCTTTGACCAAGTGACAAATTCCTATTCTGGGAGTTGAAGTCCACGAGTCATAAAAGAGCCAAGGTTGCCTACCCCTGATCTAGTCCATCAGGTCGATCCCAACAGCGGGGACACGCACGGGGGTCTCACTGGGGGTGGGTGCGCACAGTGGCCAGAGGAGAGACGCCAAGTGAGCCTTTAAGGCTGCAGGTTCTTACCACTCATCCGGCCGAGGTTCATCCCGGAAGGAAAACGGCCCAGGCTCTCCATTCCACTGAAAGGACCCTCCATGCCTGAAACGGAAACGTCGCCGTTCAGCTCCCGGTTTCGGCGAGACCCGCAAAGGGCGACTCGCGGCGAAGTGGGGGAGAATGGATAGGCCCCGTTTCTTGCACTTATTAATTAGTAACCCAGCGGACCGTGCCTTTGCTCGTCTCGGCCAGCCTGAGGATCATTCGAGGGGCCGGAGAAGAACCGAGGCCGAATGGCTTCTTGGCCTTCTCTGGGGCCAGACTGGCAGGAGGCGCACGCGGTCCGGGCACCGCTGACCCTCCCCGGGGCTGTGAACGAGGAACCCAAAGGCCCTGCCTGAGCAGCGAATGCGCCCACGGCTGATTTACTGGGCAGGCACCATGCAGGAGCCTGGGGTTTTCCAATTTAGCTGTCAGTTATCGTGGAAGATTCTGGACGAATCCTCCCTCGTCGTCAAGTGTCTCCCGCGGCCGACTTCCTTCCTGCGAGGGACTTACCTCCCATTTTATTCATTCCGAAGCCCAAGCCTTCGATCCCCATCCCTAAAAATTAAAAAAAAAAAGGTGTGTGTGTGAATGCACACCCCAGAAGTCGGGGGTGGCCAAATCCCTTTCGCCCTCCCCAGCAGGGAAGAGCAGAAGAGATCTAAAGCAACAATCCTTCGGTTACTGCGTGGGGGCACGGTGGTTATAAAGTGCAGCATGGCAGGCTAATTCTGCCCATTGCCAGGAGTTCGATCCTGACCGGCTCAAGGTTGGCTCGGCCTTCCGTCCTTCCGAGGTCGGTAAAATGAGGAACCAGATTGCTGAGGGCAAATAGGCTGTAAACCGCTTAGAGGGGGCTGTAAAAGCGCCGTGAAGCGGTATATAAATCTAAGTGCTATTGGTATTCTCCCCCTCTCCGCGCCCTTTTCTTTCTACCTTTCTTTTCTTTCCTTCTCTCTATCCTCTCCTTCCTTTTTCTCCATTGTTTTCTTTCCCTCCTGCTCCATCTCTTCTCTTCTCTTTTCCTCACCCTCTTCTTTTCTCTCTTTCCTTCCTCCCTCCCTTTTCTCTTCTTTCCTTCCTTCCTCTTGTAAGAGACCTGGTGGCGCAGTGGTGACAATGCAGCATTGCAGGCTGACTCTGCCCACAGCCAGGAAGTTCGATCCTGACCGGCTCGAGGTCGACTCAGCCTTCCGTCCTTCCGAGATCGGTAAAATGAGGACCCAGGCTGTTGGGGGCAAATAGGCTGACTCTGTAAACCGCTTAGAGAGGGCCGTGAAAGCGCTTGTTGTGATTCCGTGCCAGCCTGTGTTCCCAACAGCTGAGTCTAAGGAGGAGGTGGAGGCCTTTGAGGGGCCGTCAGGGTCAGAGGGAGGCTCTGATGAATTACAGGACTCACGGCTTGATGAAGAGCCTGGGCCCTCCAGTCGTGTTTCTGATGAAGCCCAGCTGTGTGAGGAGCATGAGTCAGATTCGGAAGGCTCACACCTGGACTTGCTAATTGATGCTCACAGGCGTCGTCAATTAGCAAGAGAAAAACAACAGCAGTCTATGCGACTACTCCAAAGTAAAAGGAGAAGGCAATGAGAGGCAATGCCCTGGGACTGCTGTATAAAAAGGGGAGGTGTGGGCGTTGCTGGTTGCTGAAGGCAACCGTTTGCAAAGTGCTTCTTGAAATCCTGGTCTGTTCGTCTTGTTTGCAACGTGTTCCCTGTGGACTATTTCCTTCCTTTGGACTTGAGTTTTGCTGTTTGTGTTTTGGACTTATTGACAGGTTTGTCACCCAAATAAAAGGGATTTGTTTTGTTTTAAAGTCTCCAGCCTATTGTATCAGCAGGGGTTTGGTCCTTGTGCCTCTAACAAGGACGGCAATAGGCTGGGATAGAACAGCACCGTGAAGCGGTATACAAGTCTAAGGGCTATTGCGATTTCTGATTTCGGGCCTGTGTCTGTGAGGAGCAAACAGCCTCAAACTGGCTTCCTTTGTCGTAAAATGGCCCAGAACCCGGTGCTGTCCTTGGAGAAAGCTCTCCCCAAAAGAAAAGGGGGCACGTGGGAAACTCCCAAACCGGTCAGGAAGGCAAAAGAAAAGAGCAGAAGGGAAGAAAATCCTCAATTGAGGAAGGAGAGGGGGAAAAAATCAAGGACCCCAAAAGGTGAAGCATCAGATGAAAGACTCACCTCCGGGGCCGAGGTTGCCCATGCCCAGGCCTTTGTTCAGGTGGTTGGCATCAATGGGTATTCCTCCCGGCCCCAATCCCATGCCGATCCCCCCAAGGCCATCTGCAAGAGGGATGGACAACGGAGAGTCAAATGCCTCGTTTCTCATTTTAGGGAACAAACAGTTACGTCACAGAACAGAACAGGGGATGAAAAAAGGCTGGTTGACTCTGATCTAGCCAGTCTGGGTGTTTTAGTTCAGCCCGGAAAGGCAACGCAAGACTTCTGCCTTCACAACAGACACAAGGGAAGCCCACCCAGCTTGCTCTGAAGTAACACACACACACACACACCCAAAGGTTTAAACCGAAACACTTTTGCCCTCTGCAGGAACTCCGATTAGCATCTCTAAGAAACGAAGCCTCTTCGGGAAAAAATGAAAAGAATATAGAATAGACCAGGGTCCAATGGCTGAAAAGTTCAGCGTTTTCATGAACAGAGAGGGGGAAAAATTGCTAGATGGGATTTGAGGTTGATTTTCGGAAAGGTTCTGAGCTGAAATATTTCCTAACGTTTCAGCACAGCTGAGGATCTGATTCTGCACATTTAAAGCCCTTTTTTTTTTAAACAAAGAAAGCGGACAGATTGCATCATGTGGTTTTGATGTGAACTTTTACATCTGTTTTTACCTTTTTTATGGCTTTTCAACAGTCAAACGCCATTTAAAGCCACTGAGGTTTCCACAGTGGTCACCCCAAAAACAAACCCATTGTGGAAACAAATGACAATCAACGTAAGTTACAACTTACAGCAGTTCGTTTAGCGACTGCTCAGTTACAACGGCACTGAAAAAGACGACTTATTTCCACACTTACGACCTTCGTAGCCTCCCCATGACCAGGAGATCAATATTCAGAGGCTTGGCAACTGGCTCATGCTTACGACGGTTGCCATGTCCCGGGGTCACGTGATCCCCTTTTGCAACCTTTTGACAAGCATAGTTAATGGATTCACTTAGCAACCGGGTTACTAACGTAGCACCTGCAGCGATTTGTTTAATAACTGAGGCAAGAGATGTCATAAAATGGGACCAAACTCAGTCAACAAATGCCTCATTTTAACAACAGAACTTTTGGGCTCAGTTGTGGCCGTACTCCGAGGACTGCCCGTACTTCAAAGGCCAAAATGGTGAAGCCAAGCAAATCCAAAGCTTTCCAGCCTCCGTTCTTTCCTGAACCGCTGGGCTTACGAGGGCATCGCTTTCTCCCAGGGCAGGGGTAGGCAACCTTGGCTCTTTTTATGACTGGTGGACTTCAACTCCCAGAATTCCTGAGCCAGCCTGGCTCAGCTTGGAAATCTCTCCCTTTCCCCTCAGCACGGCTGGCTCAGGAATTCTGGGAGTTGAAGTCCACGAGTCATAAAAGAGCCAAGGTTGCCTACCCCTGTAGGGGAGGGCTTTTCAACCTTTTCACCCATTGTACCACTTTTAGGATAAGGCAACATCCGAGTACCACCAGTCGCCTAGCAAGGGGTCAAAAACTTGACCAAAAAAAAAAAAGGAAAAAAGTGATAAAGTACAGGTAGTCCTCGACTTACAACAATTCACTTAGTGACTTACACTGGCACTGAAAAAAGTGCCCCCCAAGCCACAGCCGAGCAAGACACCTGCTTGCCCATCTGGCGGTGCTCTTCCTCCTGTCCGAGGTTTCCATTGTTGTGAGCATTTCTGTTGAGGATTGGCAGCGGGGATGGGGTGGGGGGTGTTTGGTTTTTATTCCCCCCCCCCCCGTCTGCTGGGTGGTTGCAGCAGGTTTTGGTCCCTTCACATGACCCTGGGACACTGTGACCGTCATAAATATGAATCAGTGGCCAAGCATCTGAATGGAAATCACAAGACCCTGGAGAGGCTGCAACATTCCAGCTGATCGGCGCTTCTTCTGGGCTCAGCAGAAGCCCCAGGATCAGTGCTGAGCTCTAGCTGATTGGTGCTTCTTCAGGGCTCAGCAGAAGCGCCAGGATCAGTGCCGAGCTCCAGTTGGAGCCTGGTGCTGATCCTGGCACTGCCACTGAGCCCTGACAGTCCCAAAGAAGCAACGATCAGCTGGAAAGCGGCACTGATCCTGGCACTTCCGCTGAGCCCTGACAGCCCTGCAGCTCCAGCCGTCTCTCGCTCAGGCTTGTGCGGTGCTGCCACCGGTCCAGCTCATTCCCCTCCCCCGCTACCCCTTTTCTAGGATGGTTGCGTACCCCCTGCCAGGTGCCAATGTACCCCAGGTGGTACCCGTACCACTGGTTGAAAAGCCCTGTCCTGGGGACATGAGCCTAACAATTTTAATTTCCGCTGGGATCTTCGGGACACAAGCTAACCACAGATAACTGTACGTCAGTTTTAAGGATTATCTGCCAAACAGAGTCAGGGACACCAGGGGTGTCCATAAGGGCCTCAGAAACAGCCAAGATGGCGGTGAGAACCACGTGAGGCATATTAAAAGAAGAGAGAGAGAAAACGAGAGAGGGAACGAGAGAAGAGAGAACGAGAATGAGAGAACAAACGAGAGAATAAAAGAGAACAAGAGAATGAGAGAGACGAGATGTTGACCCGGACTTAGGGGACAGTGAATACGTGCAGATAGCCCCGCTCTCTCTGGCCACTTTCAGACCCATGATTGCAAGGTCATGGAAGGACAGCAAAGGAAACACCCAATAACATCCTAACCCACCCGGGAACATATGGAGCCTTGGGGAAACACCCAAACCACCCAAAAGGTAACATTCGTAGCTTGTTGTTTTCTCCCTTGTCTACAGTGTGCCAGCCTTAAAGGGCGAAGCCTCTATCTTATGTGGGTCAGCTTTGCCAGGTGAATTGCTTATGTAATCAAAGTAGGGTAGTAATGAAGAGAAGGACGAGGGGGGGACCTGATAGCAGTGTTCCAATATCTCAGGGGCTGCCCCAAAGAAGAGGGAGTCGAGCTATTCCCCAAAGCCCCTGAAGGCAGGACAAGAAGCAACAGGTGGAAACTCATCAAGGAGAGAAGCAACCTAGAACTAAGGAGAAACTTCCTGACAGTGAGAACAATGAACCAGGGGAACAACCTGCCTCCAGAAGCGGTGAATGCTCCCACACTGGTGGTTTTTAAGAAGAGACTGGACAGCCATTTGTCTGAAATGGTACAGGGTTTCCTGCCTGCGCAGGGGGTTGGACTAGATGACCTCTAGAGTCCCTTCCAACTTTATTATTATTATTATTAGGTATAAAAATTAAGGCCTTTTCGATATTTGGGGTGTTTCCCTCTCTTTAGGGAAGCCTGTCTTTGCTCAGCTGAATAAACACGTAACTCTTGAAGGCAACTTCTGGTTTCCTGTATTTTTTTTTTAATCAAGCAAAACCTCAGAACCTGCGTATCAGAGAGAACAAGAATGAGAGAACGAGAGAACAAACGAGAGAATAAGAGAGAACAAGAGAGAGAATGAGAGAACGAATGGGAGAATGAGATAAAACAAGAAAATGCTTTGACTGCAAGGTTGTGCACTTTTTTAACCCCCTTCCTGCAGGCACCCCTGGTGTGAACTCAGCCCTGCTACACTTTAAAGAAAGTAGGCATTGAATGCCACAGGTATCCTCTTGTGAAGAGGCCAACAAAGACAACGAGTGTGTTCTGTTCACTGCTGAATGACAGCACGAATCAGTGACCAGAGCCCCTCCCTGCAGGAGGTGGGAGGTTAAGACACACAAAATGCAAATAACGAACGAACAAAAAGCCACATCTCAATATTAAAAGTTACGTGGGGTCCTTGGAGTCCTCTGAGGTGGGGGGTCTCCTCGCACTGCTCACGTTACCTAGTTTGGGGTAAGGCAACTCCTGCAAGGAAACAACCCAGCTCAGAGAACACCAAGGACCGCCCGGGCTGCAAATA